TCAAAACAAATACTCATATTTTTCCATAATGTATGTATGTATGTATGTATGTATGTATGTATGTATGTATGTATGTATGTATGTATGTATGTATGTATGTATGTATGTATGTATGTATGTATGTATGTATGTATGTATGTATGTATGTATGTATGTATGTATGTATGTATGTATGTATGTATGTATGTATGTATGTATGTATGTATGTATGTATGTATGTATGTATGTATGTATGTATGTATGTATGTATTTAGTATGTATGTATGTATGTATGTATGTATGTATGTATGTATGTATGTATGTATGTATGTATGTATGTAGTATGTTAGTATGTATGTATGTATGTATGTATGTATTGTATGGTATGTATGTATGTATGTATGTATGTATGAACTTTATTATACATATGAAAATTTTGGAAAAAAGGGCGGACTTTCATTGGGGGCTGTGAGTTCCCATATGAATTAACTAGAAAATTCGTATATCTGAGAAACTATTAGAGCTAGAATCTTCAATTCTACATGAAGATCTTTGACATTAATGTGAACATTTAGAGAATAAACGGGCGGACTTTTCAATGGGGATCTTGACACCCCCTATATGAATTAAATACAAAATTTCGTATATCTGGAAAAATATTAGATTTTTTTTTAATTTGTCATCGATTACATTAAAATCTTAATTAACGTTCGGAAAAAATGCATCTCTGGAAAACATTACAGTTAGAATCTTCAAAATTATTAAGAAGATTTTTTATTTATATTGCTTTTAGGGGTAGCAAGCACACTGGGTATAGCTAGTAGATACTAAAGAGATATTCACGTCACAGGACCTAAATAAATATATTCAAAAAACTAAAAAAATACAAACATAGTTTTTAGTAATTTTCTAAAATTTTTCGGAATTGTAATACTCTTTACAAAGGATTTAATTTGTGTCCAATTCAAGATTTTAAATAAATTGGGAAAAAGCACTCTCAAAACAAATACTCATATTTTTCCATAATGTATGTATGTATGTATGTATGTATGTATGTATGTATGTATGTATGTATGTATGTATGTATGTATGTATGTATGTATGTATGTATGTATGTATGTTATATGTATGTATGTATGTATGTATGTATGTATGTATGGTATGTATGTATGTATGTATGTATGTATGTATGTATGTATGTATGTATGTATGTATGTATGTATGTATGTATGTATGTATGTATGTATGTATGTATGTATGTATGTATGTATGTATGTATGTATGTATGTATGTATGTATGTATGTATGTATGTATGTATGTAATGTATGTATGTATGTATGTATGTATGTATGTATGTATGTATGTATGTATGTATGTATGTATGTATGTATGTATGTATGTATGTATGTATGTATGTATGTATTGTATGTATGTATGTATGTATGTATGTATTGTATGTATGTATGTATGTATGTATGTATGTATGTATGTATGTATGTATGTATGTCGGTATGTATGTATGTATGTATGTATGTATGTCTGTATGTATGTATGTATGTATGTATGTATGTATGTATGTATGTATGGATGTATGTATGTATGTATGTATGTATGTATGTATGTATGTATGTATGTATGTATGTATGTATGTAGTATGTATGTATGTATGTATGTATGTATGTATGTATGTATGTATGTATGTATGTATGTATGTATGTATGTATGTATGTATGTATGTATGTAGTGTATGTATGTATGTATGTATGTATGTATGTATGTATGTATGTATGTATGTATGTATGTATGTATGTATGTATGTATGTATGTATGTATGTATGTATGTATGTATGTATGTATGTATGTATGATGTATGGTATGTATGTATGTATGTATGTATGTATGTATGTATGTATGTATGTATGTATGTATGTATGTATGTATGTATGTATGTATGTATGTATGTATGTATGTATGTATGTATGTATGTATGTATGTATGTATGTAGTATGTATGTATGTATGTATGTATGTATGTATGTATGTATGTATGTATGTATGTATTGTATGTATGTATGTATGTATGTATGTATGATGTATGTATGTATGTATGTATGTATGTATGTATGTATGTATGTATGTATGTATGTATGTATGTATGTATGTATGTATGTATGTATGTATGTATGTATGTATGTATGTATGTATGTATGTATGTATGTATGTATGTATGTATGTATGTATGTATGTATGTATGTATGTATGTATGTATGTATGTATGTATGTATGTATGTATGTATGTATGTATGTATGTATGTATGTATGTATGTATGTATGTATGTATGTATGTATGTTGTTTGTTTGTTTGTTTGTTTGTTTGTGCTTTATAGACTGCTAAACGGCTGGACCGATTTTCCTGAAATTTTCACAGTTTCTTCCTGTATGTCTGGAAGGAACTATTGGCTACTTTTCATGTTGAAATTTCATGTGGGCGACGTGCCACGCCCATATTAAGAAAATATTAAATTAGTATATCTGAGATAATATAATAGTTAGAGTCTTCAAATTTTGTCGGAGCAACTTTAGTACCAATATAATTATTTAAGACAAAAAGTGGGCGGATTAGCATTAGGGGGCGTGGCACCTCCCACATAAATTAAATACAAAAATTCGTTTATCTTGGAAACTATTATAGTTAGAATATTAAAAATTTGCACGAGTAACTTTAGCATCCATGTAAACATTTTGGGAAATAAATTGGCGGACTACCCATGAGGGGAGCAGCACCTCCCATATTAATAAAATACAAAAATTGGTTTATCTGGGAAACTAATAGAACTAAATTCTTCAAATTTTGCACTAAGAACTTAAATATTCATCTGAACATTTTTGAAAAAAAAAGAGCGGACTTTCGTCATGGGGGGCTTGGAGCCCCCATATAAATTAAATAGGAAAATTATTATATCTGAGAAACTATTAGAGCTAGAATCTTCAAATTTTAATTGAAGAACTTTGACATTCATGTGAACATTCAGAGAATAACGGGCGGACTTTCAATGGGGGACTTGGAACCTCACATATGAATGAAATACAAAATTTCGCTTATCTGGGAAACTAATAGAACAAGATTCTTCAAATATTGCAAGAAGAACTTTATTATACATATGAAAATTTTGGAAAAAAAAGGGCGGACTTTCATCTGGGGGCTGTGAGTTCCCATATGAATTAAATAGAAAAATTCGTATATCTGAGAAACTATTAGAGCTAGAATCTTCAAATTCTACATGAAGATCTTTGACATTAATGTGAACATTTAGAGAATAACGGGCGGACTTTCAATGGGATCTTGACACCCCCTATATGAATTAAATACAAAATTTCGTATATCTGGAAAAATATTAGATTTTTTTTTAATTTGTCATCGATTACATTAAAATCTTAATTAACGTTCGGAAAAAATGCATCTCTGGAAAACATTACAGTTAGAATCTTCAAAATTATTAAGAAGATTTTTTATTTATATTGCTTTTAGGGTAGCAAAGCACACTGGGTATAGCTAGTAGATACTAAAGAGATATTCACGTCACAGGACCTAAATAAATATATTCAAAAAACTAAAAAAATACAAACATAGTTTTTTAGTAATTTTCTAAAATTTTTCGGAATTGTAATACTCTTTACAAAGGATTTAATTTGTGTCTTCCCCTTAGAATTTTGATTAAAAATATCATTATAATTGTAAACTCAATTAAATGGAACGGTCCTGAGACTAGTTTTTTAATCATTTTAGTTCGACTTTGTTATCCTCAGAAATAGTTCCAGAGAATCTGTAGAGAACATATACACCTTCTATAGAACTAGATCTTTTTCCAGTCAATTATAAATAAAATTTTTTTCGAGTAGTTGTTTTTTTAAATCTGTACTAGTATTGTACCATTGGAAATATTGAAAGAAATGATTAAACTTTTTAGAAGTTCTTATAATAACAACATTTTTCGACTCAAAAACTAGTTATTATAAAAATTTTATTTTGTATTAAAATCGTTCCATAATGTTCTAGAGTGGGAAAATGTGGCACTGTGCAGTGAAAAGATATTAGACTCTTTTAAAAAAAGAATTTAAGTACACAGGAGAGATATACCAGGACATGTCCGACTTTCAGCGGCAGTCGTTAACCTCGTCCTAAAAGGTAACGGAAGCAACAATAAAATCATTAATAGGAGGGACTCCGGAAAAAGTGGAATATTTGAATAAACTTAGGTATTTTTGAAAATTTATTTGTTGAACGGTTTATGCTGTATTTAACTTTACTACAAGTATAAGTTTTTTCTGAAGCAGTCCCTAGTTTAGATTTTTTAAGCAATTAAAAATTAATACATACGTTATTTTTCCAAATTCTACAGAAATCATTTGTGAGGTGGTTTTACTACAGATTCCCTGAAGTCCAATATATTTGTAAGTAAATGTATACAATGTAAATGAAAAATCAAAAATTATTGTTAAAATTGTTTATTGATTGATACATATAAATATTTTGTTAAACTATTTTATCAAGTATATAATACAAATAGTTGGTAAATTCATATATTAAATATAATTAAGTATATTAATATGTAGTATTAAATAATAAATAAACTAAAATTACTTATTTCTTTATATATGTAAAATAAAGACATAATTATTGAGTTTGTGTTTGCTACTTAAGTTAATTTGAATGGAGATTTTGTGTGTGTGGAGAATGTGTGTGTGATATTTGCAAGTATACATACACATATGTATGAGTGAATGTAAAATAACTAAACAAATGATTCGATCTAGCGAAACATTAGATAGTATGTTCCAAATTCGGACTGCGACAATAATCAAACACAAAGAATATAGAACAGTTTTTGTTAATAACAGCGATCAACGTGTTACACGTTCAATATGACAATTATGACAAATGATGATCATTTGTGTTTGAGTAATATAAAGAGAATATTGCACATAATTACTTCGTATAATGAAGAACAAACATTTATAGTTTAAATGAAATGCTCATTATTGCGATTGCGCAACTTGGTTTCTTCGATTTCACGCTGCCACTGGTTGCGACTGGCCTGCAGTATTAAATCTTGCAAAGATCCATATTGAGAATTGTGATGTGATTTGGCAGGGACAGCTAAATCTTCTTCGTCTTCGTAAAGATTTTCATACATATAATCGGGATCCATAGCTGAGGGTAGGATCATGGGAAAATCGCTGTAGTCGCCATCAGCTTCTATGGCATCGCCATCAGCATCATCATCGTCGCCATTGTCCTGATTATTAATGCCATGTTTTTCATTAAACATTTTGAGTAAATCGTCAATTTTTTCAGTTGGCATATCGGAAACCATTTTAACTGCAATCTTACGGCGGGAACGTTTAAGATTCTTTTGTGACTTATCAGCCAATTCGAAATTGAGCGAAGTCTTCAATGTGCTGCGTGAGAGTTTTAGCTGTTTTAACAGATTGTGATAAATTTGTAGAAAATGATTGGAAGATTCCTGGTTTGTGGTTTCCACAGCTGTGTCTTTATTTCCATTGTATTTGGGATTTTCTTCTATAAATCTATTCAATAACTCCATAGTACCCTGTTGGTCCTTTTGAGACTTTAATAGTTCAACTGTAATGAAAAAAAGAAAACGTATTTGGTTAGAAGATTTCTTTGGAAAATGTATAATCGGTGCTATTCAATTGCGGTTAACAATGGAGATTATTAATATTTTCATTTATAATAATTACCTTTTTGATTGGTTAATCCGAGTTTTTGCTTAAAAACACTCCATTCATCTTTATTGTTTTGAGTTTTGGAACTTTGATTTTCAGTTGTGCTTTTAATGTACAATCCGTTTGTCATGTTAATCATGAAAGTGACCATAAGGAAGAGCAAAAGAGTATGCATTTTCGTTTAGTTTTAAAAGAGTATTCCAATATATCGAAATAGTTTTCGAGTTGTGCTTAGATGTTATGATGTGAAACACCAGTTAGTGACTGATGTCCTTTTTCGTGTGCGCTCAACTTTTATAGAACTCATCCGCTATTCAAATAGTAAACTCGAACGTGCCTGTCTGTTATTTTCATTATTTTCCCATTGCACATTTTATAAGCCCTAGTCCGTGTCATTTAACAAAAAGTCAGACTTTCTCATGTTTGGTCGACAGCCCGTTTAAATTCTCATCGCTCAGTCAGTCAAGTACATACATACATAAGTATTTATTTAGATGGCCTGACCAGACTATAGGTAAATTGATTTATCCGTTTATTGTACTTACTCTTTTAGTGCACATAAACACACAAACATTAAGTACAAGATAGTATCAGGCGAAGTAACGATTAAACCTCATTCGTACATCGACGGATGGCGCACTTTTCCGCTGAACACAAGATATTTATGAAGCAATTAAACGGTACAAGTAATTATCAATATTTCAATAGATTCGAGTCAGACAGACGGTTCAGGTAGCCAATTACAACTACTTTTGGTTTCATAAATGACGTTGACGACGACATTCTCTCTAAATAATTCTAGTTATGATCAAATATTTGTAAATACATAGATAAATGTAGGTATGTATCTACATATGTATGTATGTCTGCAATATGCACAGACAAACATTTCATACGCGGTTCGCCATATAGAAATTGTCACAAACTAAATAAATAATAACTTTGTTTGATTGTTATTGAAACAAGGAACATTTCTATCATAGATTGATCCCACGTTTCATTTATATAACTACATACATATATTATTTATTTATGTAAAATTTGCAATTGCAGTCGTAAGTTGACATTGTTTTCAGATGTTAATGTACATTTAGTTATTAATAATAACTAAATGCACTCTTTAATTAGGGTTCAAACATTGTTTACGTTTTCATTAATGAGCCACGAAACATACAGGTATACTACATGTATTATTCAATTACGAGTTGATGATTTGTATGCTAACGGGTAAGTTCTTGTACACACATGAACTTAATATTAATGTGTCTCACAATATATGTATGTATCTTTTCTACCTTTTTTAATGTATGCGTAGTGAGGTGACACTTGTCGATATTGTCGCAATTAGATGTGAAAGGAAGTGAATTTAAATCCTAGCGCCAGGGTCATAAAAGACGAACACAATTTGAAATCATTGTTTCTCTCTCAAATGAAGATTAAGATTACACACACACATACGAGTACATTACTAAATGTATAGTTGGTTCATAGTCGCGATCACAAGTAAAAACAGACACTTAATTGTTTATAGAGAGTGTTGCAATCATTAATGATTGAGTAATTTACAAGGATTCAGAGAATTTTTATTTTATTTCATTGTCGTTAATTTTTTTCTTCAAGTTCTATGTGTAATTGACCCAGGTGCGTTAGAACAAATTTGTATCAAATATTGTGGGTTTGAAAACACATGAAGTGTTTTATTTATCATTTGTTTTCAAATACCCCCTGTAGTTGAAGGTAAAACATTTTCATTGTTATTTTTAACTACCGACTCAGTGGTGACATCACACTTGGAGAATTCGCCTCAAAGATTATAGTGTATCTAAACTATTAACAATTAGAAATGTGTTAATAGAACATTACATCACTCTGTGCGGAAAGTAAAATCGTGTTTTGGTTACCCCTCTCAAAATTTACCTTGCTTTATTTTTTTTAAAAAAAGGTATTTTTTATTTTTTTCTTAAATTCTACCGAATGAGATCTCTGTTGTAGAACAAAGTAGTCCTTATCGATCAGTACATTTGTTGTATGGAAACTGAGTAAAAAATTGACCTACATATGCCATTGGGCTAAAAGAAACCGTTGCACTATGAAATCAGTGAAGGTTTTTTATCTTATCCCAGTAAAATATTTTAAAATTTTGGTAATGAGTATTGTAGGTAATGTAGTTATTTCATACATTACTTGGTAATGAGTGGTCTTTATCAATAATTTTAAATAATTTTTTTGGATAGGATTTGTAGGCAATTGTCTATAGCGTACGTCTAATAAGAAATTAGTTTGTGGTTCTAACCCTAGTCGATATTAGAATATTTTTTAAAAAATATTGATTTTTTCATTTGTGTAGAAACCATTTCAGACAGAATGATAAAATAACTTGTTAATGGAGCACTGAGTAAGAGAATAGACTAACAAACATAGAAAATAACTTTAAAGCCGGTTTTAATTCCGGAAAAGTCGGGTAAGCACATTTGTAACCAGTTCTTTTTTAGTCATCGTCGAACAAAAATAAATCGTCGAACAAAAATAAAAAAAAATAAGAAAGTACTTACACTTTGCTCCAATATAACATGCCCACTTACTGGGTAAGTAAAGATTTTGCTGGGATGTATTACCGACATCCCACTGATTAAATTGACGTTTTCAATTTGGATTTGTCTTTAATATTCGCATATCTACTAGCAGTCAAAAATACAGTTTTACAAGAAGTAATTTTGAAGGATTTGGCGATAATTTATTCAAACGCAATTTTTGTTAATTTAAGCACAATTTTGTTTATATTTGAACTAAAATGTTTCTTTATTTATATGGTTCATATTTACTAGAAAAAAGTGTATGGCCTTCTATTGATTTAATTGAATTCAATAGAAATTTACTATAGGAGGTACCCTCTATTAAAGGGCATAATGTTTCGTAGAATGCAACTTTCGGGATTCGATCCAATTTTTAATTTAATTTTATTAATTATTTGATTCTTGCATTGTTTTGATGCTGTCAAACCCCGTCCATTTTAAATCGAAATACACATAATTGTAATAGTATAATTACCAAGGCAATTTCTTGTGAAATTTATTTTATCACTAATTTTTCTCCTATCGTATCAAGTTAATTTTTATAGATATTAAGAACTTAAGTTTTTGACAACAAATATATAGGCTCCTGATGACAGAGGTGCCGCTTTATGTACTCTAATACCAATTTAACAGAATCACGATCTCGAGAATGACAATAACTATAAAGCCTAAGGAACACCTTTAACTAATATATAGGGAATTTCACGTCAAGTGGCTCAAAACTCAAAAAATCGATTTCGACGAAATTTGCACTAAAGTTAGTACTATTGGAGAGTAGGTCAGACACAAATTTACAGCTCTATCGGTCAAGAACTGCCAGACTTAGAGGGGATCCAAGTTGGACATTTTGGTCATACAGGGTTTTATTCAAATGAGTGTTACTTCTCACCTATTGGTCCTAGCAAAAATTGTCCAAAGGAGTTCAATTTTTCCAATTTTTTTTTTCATTTTTTTTAATATTTTTTTTAAATTTTTTATTTCAAAATGGGCCATTTTTATTTTTCTGCTTAAAAGAAAGCTCAGACAAATTTCATTAAAGGTCTTTATAGTACCATAATGGGATGCGAGTAGGATATCCATCAAAAAATTATTTTTTAACTCAAGAATAAAATTTATTTGGCACTTAATTTTTCCCTATTTTTTCAAAATGGGCGTTTCAAAGAACCCATTTTAAAAAAATAGAGGAAATTAAGTGCCAAATATTGAAAAAAAATTATTCTTGAGTTAAAAAATAAGTTTTTTGGTGGATATCACACTCGCATAAAATCCTCTATGACCCTCTGACTCCGGCAGTTCTTAACCGATAGAGCTGAAAATTTGTGTCCGGCCTACTATCACATCGATTTTTAAAGTCACTTGATACGAAATTCCCTATATACATATTATTTATTTATTTTTTTTTTAATATTTTTTAATTGTATGCTATAAAAATGTTGGAATTAATGCATTTATAACAAAATATGCAAAAATATGCAACAACTATTTTGTTGCAAATTCTTAGATTCGAAAAGAAAACTATTAAAAGTTATTTTGAATTACTGACTACAAACATGCATTTACTTAGAAATTAGGGTATTCAAACGATTAAACGATTGGTTAATCGATCAATTGTTGACGATTAATCGCTCGAATAAATGAAAATTTCCAAATTTCAAAATAACGAATAAACCAAATAACTTATATCAATTAACCGATTAAGAAAAACTTATTACATATTTAACAATCTTATACAAAATTCAATATTTTTATAATAAATTTCTTTCTGTATTAATTCCCTTATTACTTTTCTATAATGAAGAATATTTATTGGATGATTTTTATAACAATACTTCAGAAACATTGTTGTTCTGATTTACATACTTCTAGAATGGGTTCATGCAGAAACATTTCAGATTTCTGAAAAGAATGATATCGCCTTTACTTCTAAATCCAGTTTTGAGGAACATTATTGTGTTTCTAAAGTATTTCTAATAAGTTCTTCAGCAATACATAGTTAACACTAGTTCATTGGAACGTATGAATTCTGGAATTCGTTGAAAAATCTCAAAAAAACATAAAATTAATTAACTTAATTTCTTTACATAGAAGAAAATAAATAATTTCTAATATTTGAGAAAAAACTTAATTAACAAATTTTAATTAAGTTTTTTGTTTGTTATAGGAAGAAAAATATTCTAAAAAAGAAATAATATTATTAAAAAAACATCCACTCTCCCTTTATTCGATTAACCGAATAATTTTGAATTATCCGATTATTAACCGGCCAACTTAAACCCCCAAAGAATTATTTGTCGAATAAACCGAATACGACAGAAAGCCTAATAATTGAATACTCTAATAGAAATCCATGCCCTGCTTATTTATGTAATATAGATAAGTCGAAATAAATTATTTAATATTGTAATATATTAACCTATTAAATGCAATAACTACGTAGTCATAACTAATTCCGAAATCTTCCAATTTATATTAAAAAATGTAAAATTCACATTGAAATTCCAAAATTTCTATGAAATTTAGAACTTACGCAGATTTAGATTATTGTTTTGGTTTAAAT